AGATCAGGAGGGATCTTTATTCTTATTTATTCAGAATAAAGAGTTCTAGACCAGTAATCTCCAAAGCAGTTTAGAAGTGTATTTTCTTGTGTTGGTTGGGAGCCACTCATCACACGCGGCTACTGAGCACCAGGGAAAAACCAGGGTGAGCCAAGCCTCAGGGCCCTGGAAGAGCCTTCAGGGCCGTCACCTGGGTTCGTTYCCCCTATTTCTAAGCAGGCTGAGAAAAGAGAAAAACTCAGGAGGCAGGGGCCACCCAGAGGCCAGTGGACACTCCGTCTCTTGGTCCCCCTTGCCCTGTTCTGAGTGGCTCAGCCAYTTGCAGCTCCCAGAAAGGCTCCCAGGTCTCCAACTGCTTCCTCCTCCTGTCTCATGCAAGGAAAATCAGACCTCAGCTTCCTTCAGGGACAAAGGAGAGAAGCTCMCAAGAAGCGAGAAGGGTCCTTCACATGTGGACGGCTGCTTTAGAACCAAAGGAACCCCGTGGTCCAGTGTGGGAGGTGAGGACACTGAGTCCCGGAACCACCCCAGCCCCCCTCACCCCCACACGTCTGTGCACACACATGTACACACATGCTTCATTTGTGAAGGAGGTCACTTTTGGAGAGTTGGGACAAGACGTCCTGGTCTGGAAAAGCTGAGGGTTTTGCTTCTGCTTTAATTGGGTTCAAAAAGATGACAAACCAAATGCGCCTCAGGGTTTGCTTTTGAAACTCACATTGGAATTTATTTCAGGACCTTCCCCAAGTGGCTGCAGAATGCTGCGTGTAGACCTGATGGTGGCTTTTGCCGGGAGATTTTTTTTTTTTTCTTCTTCCTATTGCCTTTCAACTTCAGCAGCAATAATTGGCTCAAACCAATCACAGTCTTTGCGTGCAAGCTAAATGAAAAAGGCCACCCTTTGTCCATGCCGCCAGTCTCTCTATTCCGTGCTATTTCTTAAACTTGGGACTCCATTGCAGGCAAATGTTCTAGCGTCCTTTAAAGGATAGACTCTTTCTGGATCCTTCGATCAATTGACTGCAGTGGAKAGCAGGGCTCCTGCCTGGGCTTCTTGCAGTGGTGTGGTCAAGATGAGTTCTCTGCTATCACCATAATTTACAAGGCTCACATAACCATGTAACGACTTGGTGATTACATGGAAAATATCGTATAAATACATAGCAATTACAAGTTCATGCAGATTACTTGGTATATACATTTGAAGTTACCGAGTAGTTCAAAGATTAATTATCCTGTAACTGGCAGTATTTAAATCATTTTTTTCTCAAATGCGAATATGTCGAGGTCGACTTCAAGGCTGGCTAGGATGGGTATGCGATGAGTATGATCTGAAAAGAAGAAATGAAATTTGACAGGCATGGATTATTTAAAGCATGCCTATGTGAGCCCAGCAGCCACTGCACTTTGATGCAAATCGTAGGGGAAAGAGCAGGGGAGGGTGTGTAGAGAAAGGTGCTGAACAAAGTAAGGATTTCCTGCTGGCGACTTGAAATTTAAACAAATAATCATTTAAATGGCGGCCCGGCATTACGTTCCGAGTTGTGTGCATTAATGTCAACATCTGGTACCAACATTTTGACAATTCTATTAAAATGCCCCAGCATTCCCTATCTAACACCTGTTAGCTCTAATTTTCTTTCCTGAGAAGCACACCAGTAGACAGGGTAGATTCCAAATCATTTATCACTTTTAAAGTGCTTCCATATGCGTGTTGGACCCAGCCTGGCCCTAGGCAAACGCTTTCTGAATGCATTAAAATTCAGAACTTTTTTTTGTAAGTGTAGACACCAATGTTTCATTGAATTCGTGTCTGGTAATTATTAGCTTAAATTATGGCTCACACATGACTTGACAAAGTGGACCATGAATTAAAACGCACTCGGGCATACACACACGCATGCATACACCGAACTCTTCAATAGATACACCCAAGTCCTGCATTGCACCGTTATTGAGATGTCAGTCAGTAATCATTAGGCAAACACTCTTCATGGAGGGAGCTGCTAAGAGGCCCAGGCATCCCAAGAGACCATCTAAAAATGTCAAAAATGTTACAGTATAAATGAATGACACCAACAAGAACACATGTTAGAGTTGCAAGCAATTAGTTAATATATTACAAGTTTCAACCTCTGAGCAAAACAGGCAACAAAATTTTCTCTTGACAAAAGGCTGCAGATAAGATCAAGTTGATTCTCAGACAGTACAATTGCTGAATTGGAGCAACCTGCAGCAGGCTAGGAGGGAAGGAGGATCCTGGGAGGTTCAGGGAGTCGTAGGGTGCGCACCCAAGGCTTGGCTCTCCTTGCTTGAAAATGGTGGGTGTGACTGCCTGGCTCTTGCCATGGAAAAGTGAAGTCTAAATGCAAGAAGTTGTCCTTGTGCCCCATGGATCAGGATGATGAAGCCGGCTGCTGTTCTTTGCTGGGCCTTCTGAATAAAATTTAGAAGGTAAAATGAAATCTTGTTGCTATATTTCACTGGAAAGGAGGTGCCTTGCAAAAGGGGATATCTTATAGGTAAATGCTTGCCCGTTGCTTTTGAGAGGGAATTTTTAAATGAAATATTGGATATTGTGTAGTTTTTCTTTCAACCCCCCTACTCTCTCTTAAGTCTCTCTCTTGTATGCAGGATCCCTCTCTCCACATGCAAACACATGCATATGGAAAAGATGTTCGAAGCAACACCACTGAAAACTCATACAGAAAATAGGTATTGGACAAAAATCCACATTATATGCTTGGGATAAGGATTTGAATGACTTCCTTGGAAATGCAAGAAAACTTTGAGAATACAAGAAAGAAGAAATGGAAATCCGAGCTCACTGACTCTGAATGTAAAAAAAATTTGTAGACAGTTAAAAATGTCCACCCCTATACACATGCACACCTACACTTTCACACTTCCTCTGTTTACTAAATAACATTTCAGCACAGTTTTCATCTTATAAGGAAAGTGTTTGAAACTTGGAATAAGTGCACTTAATTAAAGGAAGGCTGTGAAAATGTGCACTAATCTGATATGACTAATAGCAAAGTGCATGAAATTGCTAATTAGAATTTCATTAAAGGTGCTGCTTTATCAGACTGTGAAAATCACAACCTTTAAAATTCTTTCAGGAGAGCTTAATTCCTTTTCAAACAGAAATATTCTTTAAAGACATTTGATTTGTTCTGAAGGAATTCGTGGCTTCCACTGAAACTGAAAATGTTGCTGATATTCCAGGAGGTGACATCAGAGTAAGAATATAGATCAGGGACTTTGTTTCCTTTGCCTGATGAGTCCCCTCCTCCCCCCCACCTCTACAGATTATTGTTCAAAAACCTAGTCATGAAAAATGGAGTTGAGTCCTTGGTTTGTTCCACATGTAATTTGTTTTCTGCTGAAACCAAATGTTCATTCTTTCCTTAAAGAGAAAAGAAAAAATTACTCTAAAAAAATTAAAGTTACTAAAAATAAAAGTTAAATACTTTAATTTTCACATGCATTAAAAAATAAAGCAGCGCATACAACAAAGTGGTTTTTTCTTCCTTAAAGGAAAAGACCATCCATTTAGATAATAAAACAAAACAAAACAAAACAAAAACAGCAAGTAGCCTTTAACCTTTCTTTAAGAAATAAATATCTTAAAATAGGAATAACATTTCAATCACAAAATTGCACTTTTTAAATTTGGGAGATTCCAGCATTAACAATAGTAAATACACTTTTATCTCTTCCCAGATGTGCTCTCCTGAATTACGCAATTTTCTTATTTCATATCTTGATGATTCCCTGCCCGAAATCTGAACATCAGCCTGTTTTTTACCAGATTTTAAAAAAATTCTACCCTTTCATCCCTTTAGCTTTATTCCTTCACTCTTATAATTCAGCCACTTCTCTTTATTTTCATATTTAAAAAAGTTGTGCACTCTCTCTGATGCCACCCATGGTATTTTGCTGTTAGTTTTCCTGTTGTTCAAAGGTTCTTAAAATTGATATCTGTGTTCTTTTTAAAGCTCAAGCTTGATTAAAGAGTTACACTTTGTTACTAAAAAAACATTAATATGAATGGAAACTACAGCTCACTCAACGCAACAGTTTACTTGCACCGAACTTGTTAAAAAGCCAGCCCTGCTCCAGCCCAGACCACAGTCTACACTGCTGGAAGTTTGTAGAATCTGGTGCCCTAAATACACTTTAAAATCTAGATTCAAAGACTAATCAGTCATATTTACATGAAGACCATCACTGAAAGGGGAGAAAATGAGAACAGAAGTAACTTTATTTGAGAAACAGTGTGATTTTTTTTTGGACATTTAAACAAATCTCAAGTGGGCTAATTACAGGTTGCTCTCTCTGATTTTCACTCTGGCACAAGGAATTTTCGTGGCATTTAGATAATTTATCAAGGGGACTAGGGAACAGATAAAAGATTGCGTTTTCCTTTCCAACATTTGGGGGGTACATTTGTACAATAAGAGGAATGATTTTTTAAAAAATCGGTCTAGACTTAAATGAATGAAAATTATGCTCGTTAACTGTAATGTCTGGAGTCGGAGCAGGGGTGTCCGTCCTGCCTACCCCCGGGGCCACCGTGGTCAAACAAAGCTGCTAATTCGAATGTTTTAAGTTTCAAAATGAGAAATATTGTTCTAATATGGCAACAATGGGGCTGTTGTCCTTTCAAGCCTCTGCCATTACAGACTCCTTACAGCTCATTTTATGCAAAACAAATGGCAGGTAATCGTGATTTAATTCTTTTCAAGTAAATTACAGTGAGTGCGTGGCACAAAGCCTCGGCGGTCCCTCCCTTCTCCGTCAATAGCTGAATTAATGGTGGCAGGAGTAAAAACAGCAATTGTGCACAACAGCCCTCCCCGGCTCCCACCCCTGCAACGCGGGACCTGCCAATCTGGCCGCGCCCCCACCAGGCTGGAACGCTCGGGTCGCCGCCGTTCGGATGGAACGTTCTGGTGTCACCGCGCGGCGGCCGCAGAGCCCAGGGCTCACTCCGAGCCAGCGTCCCGACAGGGGTCAGCGTCCGCGCGCTGCGCGCTGCGGGCCAGGGCGCGCGGGACCCGGGGCTTGTGGCGCTGGAAAYGCGAGTTAACAGCGCCATGGGTTCTCCGGGCAGGTCAAGGATCGGGGCACTTTGAAGATCCGCTAACCACGCCACGTTCCCTCGGCGAGAGACCCTGGATGCTCCCGGAGGCAGCGGCGCGGCGAGAGGTGGGGCGGACCCCCGCCAGCGCCGGCGCGGGGGGCGCGGTGGCTGAGCGGTGCTGCGCGTCCCTGGGCGCAGGAACCCGAGGGCCGAGAYCCGAGCCACTCCACTCCACTCACAGCGCCAGTTTTTGCCGAGCAGCCCGCTTGGGGCGAGAGATGGGGTTGGGGAGCAAGGGATCAGCTAGGAAAGCAGGGGTCGCCTGTGGCTGAGAGGCGCGGGGGGGAAGCCTGAAGCTCTGGAAGGGACTTTGAGATGAGGCTCTGTTCCTGTACACAGTAGGTGTGCAGTGACCATTGCATTGAACGGACGGCCAAACTACAGCGTGGCATTGTAAATCACTTTCCRTTGTACTTGGAACAAAAATCAAACTCCTTCCTGAGGCCCAAGGTTCCGGCTATGGCCTGGCCATCTGCYCCAATGGGTTCTGGATGCTGAATGTCTGTCCGCGACCGAACGCTGCTTGCACTGTCCTGAAAGGGGGACCTTGAGCAAACGACTTAACCTCTTTGACCTCAGTTTCCACAGCTGTAAATGGGGTCAATAATGGAACCCTACACTCAAGGACCTTGATGCGCTTTCACACAGTAYTTAAAATGGTGCTTGCCTCATAGAAAAGTGCCTGATAAATGTTAGGAGGATTCACTGCACCTGGGCCATGTCCGCATTTTCCATCTTCCTGGACCTCCCTGAACGCATTCCTGCCTCTGCCCCTGCAGGCAGAGAATTTGCCTTTCTCTGTCATGGCTTCTGCTTCAGGCCTTCACTCAACTGTCACCCCAAGGCGTCTTCACTGTCATGGACCATCCTGCTCATCGTTAACTTAAAGCTCTGTGTTCTTGCCAGTACTGATCCTGATCTGAACAGTTTTCACCTTTTTCTTGGCCTTTATTGCCTGTCTTCTCCCCGAAGTGTAAGTTCTACAGGAATGGAACCTTTCTTCTCTGCAGGCTCTCAGCACGTTGCTCAGTACSTGAAATGTAGTAGGTGCTCAAGGAAGCCCAGGAAATGGATGAATGGAGTYACTTCCTCTCGGACCTCAACACCAGAGTGGTTGAACTTGTTATCTCTTATGGGCCCAAGTCTGTTGTTCAAGGATATAAGCAAAATCATCCACGTGGAAATTTTTATTTTCAAAATGAGAAAATAACAATTTGCTAAAGAGATCTAGGTTCTCAGGCAGAACTACAGACTGTTCTCAATGATGTCAACTTTCGTCCCTACCTGGGTCTGACATTGGCGGGAACCAGTTTCTGAGAACTCCTCCCATCCTCCCTGAGCCAGGGGACCAGGCCTGACAGGTGGCTAAGGCCCTTCTAGATCTCTTCCCTAGTTTTGCCTGACCTTCACCCTCAGTTGAGGGTTTGCTGGTTCTGGGCCAGTTTGGTCCTAGGACCCTATAGATGTCCCTGTCCTGAGCAAGCCCTGCCTGCTTTCCTCCTGTAGGTCCGGGAGTGCCCTTCCTCCTCCAGTGACGACATCTTGTGCAGGGTCTTTCCTTTGGCCTCCTGGACAGAGCTCCTCTGCCCTTTCCATTGCTCTTCTTTGATGTTAGTTATAGATTCACACTTGCTCTTTCTCCTTCAGAGCAGCTGCTTTATACCGGTTCCTGCTGGGCTACCAGACCCCTTCTCCCCTGCCAGGGCCGAGAAGCTGGGTGAGGCTGCCTCAGCAGCTCAATTCAAGGTGAGGAGATGAGTCAACAGGCTAGGGTCATTCTGTCTCAGTGTGCTGACTGGAGCCAGGGACAGAGTATTTCTGGAAGGCCTGGCTGGGCTCCTCATCTCCTGCTATTTATTTACTCAGTGAGATCACTATAAACAATGCTGGGGCATGGTGACCATCCTCAGTGGCCACTCCTCTCTGGCTATCCAGAGATCAAGAAATATAAATACTCCATCCATTTATGTATCTCAGAACAGTTGCTTAGCACCATCAGGTGCAGTGATGGTGCTGGGGACATGGATACAATAATAGCTAACACTTGTTTGTCCCTTTGCAGGTGCCAGGAACTGTTGAAAGTGCTTTGTGTGTGCGATGTTATTTAAYATAACACACATCTGTCAAAATGGTTCTTTTATTGTCAAGAGGAAACTGAGGCTCAGAACAGAAATAGAACATGCCCGGGGCTGAGGTTATAGCTGGGTGGTAGAGCACTTGCCTCGTACCTGTGGGGCACTGGGTTCCATACTTAGCAGCATATAAAAAGAACTTGCCAAGGCTACTCGGTCAGGAAGTGGTGGGATCTGGGCTTAGAACCAGAGCTTTGTCCTCGTAACCACCATGCTGCATGGTCCCCATCAGTTTTCATAAGGAAGAAGCCACAGACTTGGCACTCCAGAGGCACAGAACAGGGCAAGCAAAGCTGAAGGGGAGGCTGGTGGGTGGAGTTCCCTGCATCAGGGGTCCTCAGAGCCCGARTGGCTCCAGCCACATGCCAGGCCCTGTTCTGACTGCTTTACAGTCTCCACAGTGGCCCTAGCTGGTAAGGAGTAGCAGGGCCCGCATTTTGCAGAGGAGACACAGGGGTCCAGCAGCTCGCCTATGGTCTCAGGACCAGCGAGTGGCCCCACTGAGATTTGAAGCCAGCCCCACCCTCCAGGTCCAGGCTCTTATCCTCGTCCAGCGTAAGGCCTCTGTCTGGCAAACGTCATGCCCATGTGCTGGTGTGCAGGTGGCCCAGAAGCCTCTGACCCCTGGGTGGCTCAGGTGTTCCTCTCGCGCCCTGTGCTTGCAGGAGCAGAGCTGGCGCTGCTAACTGAAACCCGTGGGAGCTTCTGTTCCCTTGTCTATAAAATGGGGGAATGAGGTCAGCTCCACCTGCCTCTTGGAGCTGCTGTGGGGACCAAGGCCAGGTATGGGCAGGGCTCTGTGGAGCATGACTGCTGGCCTCAGAGACACCAAGTTCCATGSCTCCATGGCTGTGGTGCTGGGCAGCATGGGAGGAGGCCAGGCTACCGACCTACCTCAAGGCTTCAGCCCTCAGGTTCAGGATGCCTGGCCCATGATGAACGGAGAGGTCATGATTTTAATTGCAAAATGTCTATAAACGAAGAGTCTCATTTGATGATGTGGATGGATAGAGAATTAAACCTTTTACTTTTTAAAATTAATTAGCTAATTAGTCTTTTTCCAAGACTAATCTCTAGGCTGGATTCAAGGGCACCTAGGCCAGCCCTCGGGGATGGCTCCATGCCAGGCTGGCCCTGGGTGCTCTCTGTGGCCAGTTGCACTGGGCGCTGCAGCCCAGGGAGGCTGTGTCTGCCGCCCACACGGTGCCTCTGCTGGGTGCCTGGGACCCAGTTCTGCCGCCTTTCCCCCACCTGCCAGCTTGCTGCTTCTCTGTTGAGGGTTTTGGTTGACACCTTGACCTTGTGCAGGGTGTGAGGCAAGGGCCATGCTGCTCCATCACCYAGGGCTCCTGTGGTTCTGGCTGTCACCCCACACAAGCAAGGGCCAGGGTGACATGCATCATCCACAGCGTGGCCTGGGTCCCCTCCACCTTCACCCCAGACCTGTTTCTGCTCCCAGAGCTGGATTTGAGGTGGAAATGAGGTGGTCAGAGATGGCCGACAACCGCCTTCACAAAGCCACGGTGGGTGGAGCAAGGCCATGTAGGTCATGCCAGCCGTGAGGTTACAATGCCACCTCCACGGGCCAGTTGGTRGGCTCTGCATGGCGCTCCCAGGTGGCAAGTGGTGTGGTGAGGGACTTTGCTRCCACACACTGTGGGGAGAATCCTGCCCTCAGATCAGGAGCTCCAAGGGAGGGAGCAGGTGGTCTGCATGGGGGGACAGCAGGTAAGGGAGACCCTTYGCTACCTTCCTTGAACTTGTGGGGTGACCAAGAACATCACATGCTGCAGGAGTGCATAACTGGGAATGGAAAGTCRTCTGTAGGACTGCTGTAGCCACTGAGGATGGAGGACCTGTGCCCCGCATTATAGCGGTGGGGCCTTGGGCCAGTGACATAACTTCTCTGTGCCCCAGTTCCCTCCTCCATAAAAGTGAGGTAGCACATAATTGGGTGTCTTTAGGGTTTGGGGAGGAGTTAATTATGTAAAGTGTGGAAAAGCATTCTGAATGGTGTCTGCCACAGAATAAGGAGTTAATAAGGGTCAGCTGACTCCAAAATATAAGCTCAAAATTAGCTTCTCCATTTACTTTTCTTCCCACTCAAGATACAGGACACACCAAAGTCAAAATGGAGAGCCTTGAACGCTCCCTGTGGAGAGAGGCGAGTCTGGTGTGTACTCCTGGCCTCACTGCCCACTACCCTGTGATCCTGGTAAGTGGCTTAGTCTCCTTCTCCATGAAATGGCTATAAAATAAAAAAGTCTGTTACTAACACTGAGGATTAAGCAAATGACTTATTATTAATTTTTACCCCTTTGCCCTTCAAAAAATTGTCCTTGACCACATTCTTTTAAAACACTATGTTCTCCAGTTTTCCTCCTCTCCTGGCTGCAGAGGCAGGCTATATTTCCCAACATCCTCTGGGGTCCCGTGTGACTGCATTCTAGCCAATGGAATGTCACGGGAATAATGTGTGACTTTCAGGCCTGGGCCCTAGAATTTCTTGCCAGATCCTTGTACTTGTTTCTCGTCGTCTGCCAAGTGCCTGATAATAGTCAGGTGACCTTGAGAGCCACATGTTGAAGATGTGGAGTCCCTGCTACAGAATCTAGCTCTTCCTTGCCTATTCCCTGCAGGGCCTTCTTGGACTGAATYGCATTGTATTCAACCACTGAGATGTATGGGATGTTTGTTACTGCAGCTAGCAGGGAGCCTATCCTGACCTATACTGGATTCTGTAGACCTCTAGTCTAGTATATACACCTATATGTGTTTATTCAAGAATTTGTGTATGTCTTAGAGTCTACCCAGCCTCCAGCCTTCTTAAACTGCTAGTGTGACCTAGTCAGGACTTACTGCCTTCAAGAACAAGCCCTGGCCACTGTCAGTGGTTGTGCTAACACAATTCCTCAGCACAACTTCTTGGCCTCTGGGCCMCCTGCAGTGCAGAGATTGAGACAGMCTTACCTAGGGCATTTTGGAGGTAGCCTGTGTCTCAGGACAGGGGTCTCCTAAGAGACATTGATAATCCCATAGACTCTCTTCTCCATTCTGAGGTTGCCAAAGTGCTTGCTTTTGTCCTTGGCACATATGATAGATCTGGTACATGGCAGGCTACAGGATCAGGCAGCAGATCCTCCCAGTGGGGCCCTGAGACTTGGCTCAGACCCCCTCCCCAGCCCTGCCTGCCCTTGTTCTCTATCTTGGGTGAGGTCGGCTCTTTACTTGCTGCTCCCCCATGAAACAGAATGCTCCCTAGAGGCCAGGACTCCACTCATCACTCCCCTGTCCCCTGGAGGCTGCTGCGGGGCCAGGGTACATGGCAGACATGGCTTGCTTGGCATAGAGTTGACTTCAGGGGTCAGGGACCATCCTCATGGTATTCTGGAAAAAGAAAAAAAGTCCTCAGCTTCGGTGAAGTTTATACTAATTGAAAGGAATACTTTCATATATTGAATGTCTCTTTTGTCCCAGGGCCTTCTGCAATTTCCTGAGCTCCTCCCCACTGCCATAATTTGAGGTCCCCAGTGTGCAGGGGAGGTGTGAAGATGCCAGCCCCGGGGGTCCCCTCACTGAGGAGGTGGCCGGAGCCTCCAGCTGGGGGCAGTGCACTGGCCAGAATGGCGAGCGTCCAGGGTCCCAAGCTGCGTGCTGGAGCYGTGCATGCCGAGTGCTTTAGATGAMTTATTTCATTGAGTTCTGCTAATTTCCTTATGAACCAGGGGCTACTATTGTCACCATTTTATAGGGGGGTGGGAACCAAGTCTCTGCCAGAGTAACTCCTTTTCCCAAGTTTTCACCGTTTAAAGACATGGAGGCTGGGTGCCATTTCAATTCCGTTTCCTGTGGAGCAGCCCCTTGCCAGGCCACCCTCTGCCATTTCATCAAATTTTGGTGGGGGAGCCCTACCTGTCATCAAGCAGAATTACATGTTTGAATGAACACCTACTATGTGCAAACTCTGGTCAGAAGCCCTGTCATCACACAGGGAGGACCCAGCCGGTCCCTAGGCATGGTATCCTGGTAGAGAAAGGAGCTTTTTACCTCTGCCTCTATCCCCGCCAAACCCGCACCATGGAAGGGGTAACGTGGACCGCAATGCATTATAATACGCTGTCACCCTCAGAGGAGAGAGAGACCCCACAGGCAGGGGCAGAGGTGGTTTCCCGGAGAAGTGGAATCAAGATGAACTGTGTCTGTTTGGACTTGAATACCTGCTGGCTGAGTGACCTTGGCAAGTGACCTGCCCTCTCTGAGTCTATTCTGCCTGCTCTAAGGTGGAGATAACAAAGGTACCGACCTTGCAGGATTGTCAGGAGGAGTAAGTGAATTAATAATAGGTAATATAATATAATAAAATGATAATATATAAAATGGGTAAAGCACAGTAAAATCTCAGCTCTGTTCATATTTAGTCTTTTTATTATTAAGAACTGCTAGAATTTCAGTGAATACCACAAACAAAGCTTCAGAGTTGAGAAAACCAAGCTCTCGGTTGGTCTGAAAACAGGTTCCAGAAGATTCTCTCGGAAGGGCAAAGGGAGGCGGGTTCCTTGAGGGTTTCCATCCATGTTTTGAGAGCAATCAGTGGCTCAGCCTGACCGGTTCTCACTGGGTGGACAGAAGATGAGGCTGGGGAGAGAGGCAGGGCCCRGCTGAGGAGTCTGGACCGTCCGTGCCACCAATGATGTTCCCGTCAGTGACACTCTGTGTGACGGTGGTCTCTTAAGATCACGTTGCTAAGTGATGTCACGGCTGTCTACCCTACCGTGTTTTCATGATCACAGAATTACTTAGTGATGCCCTTCTCAGAAGGCACCCCTGAGAAAACACAGGCATGCTGGACAGGCAAGGGGGAGCCACTGGAAGTCTTTGAGCAGTGGTGTGTTGTGGCCAGGGCCATTTTAGAAAGACCCTGCTGGCTGAAATGGAGGGTAGACTGAAAAGGGAGCAGAGGGAGAAGCCCAGTAGAAAATTATTGTCATTGACCAAGGGAGAGGTTGGTGGCAGCTGGGAGGCCAGGGAGAGCGTGCATTGGCACTTGAAGAGAGGGAGGTCCTCTGGACTGTGGGTGTGTAAAGCTGGTGGTGCCAGTGGGCTTGTGCTGTACACACCCTTGGCCAAGAGCTGCGTGGTCGTGTGGGCGGCTGGGAGTGACAGCAGGCCCTCCCTCTGCAGGCCCAGGCCTGGGATGCGGTCCTTCTGGGCACCACATCACTGGTGATATCTTTGTGCCAAGAAAGAGACAAAAGAAAGAGAAATGGAGGACCAACCTCTCTGGGTCCTGAGAACCCAGGACACCTGTGTCCTCTGGGTGGACAAGCTCTCCGCTGGTCTGAAAGCAGGTTCCAGAAGACTCTTCTTGGAAGGGCAGAGGGAGGCAGGTTCCTTGTGGGTTTCCATCCGGGTCTTCAAAAAGCAGAGCGGACTGGCGCSAGAGCTGCCTGTCTGAGGCGCATTTTATCTTAACCTTTCCATGTAATCCTGAAAGCCCACCTAATCAATTGAAGATCATAAAATATTAGACTTAATGCTGCAAAGTGCTGCTTTTTAATTCACATAACAAGCTCCTAAATAATTCAAATAGCAAACAGACCCTGCGAGTCAATGGTGGGAGGCTGCTTGGATCAGCGGGAGAGTGTCAACACATGCCACATTTCCCGGATCCACTCCATTTCAAGAACCCTATTAAGTTAATTGCCGGTTTCTGACAGCAGAGAGCATGCTGGGAGCACAGCGAGCTTTATTAGCCTCGTGGCATCTGCAGGCCTCAGCCACTTTGCCCCTACTTGCAGGCACTGGGAGCCGCACGGAAAAAAAAAGTAAATCAAATTATGAGACAATAAATGCTTTTGGCAACACATGGGCATCAGACCCACTGGCGAATCCAAGAGCACTCACGCGTCATTGCTGTTCTGTTGACTTGCTTGCAGCAACGCCATCTGTATGTTGCAGAAGTCTTACAGGATGTCATAGAGCAGTCACATTGATTGGTGTCCCCGTGGCCAAYGCAGGATGATGTTAATGCAAGGGAGGGGCCCCCACCTCCTTAAGATTTACGGGGCAGAGAGAGAGTCTCTAGAATGGAGTTGGGGGACCTTGGGAGAGACCTCACTTATCTCCTGTCGTTGGTGTTGCTGGTTCAGATTTGTGAGTGGATCTCCTGGGTTTGCAAACCCAGTGAAGGTGGTTCTGGAGGTCGAGAGGGCCGGGGAAGGGAAGGGCAGCTCATTAACCAAGATCCTTAGCTTTCTGCCAGGGAGAAGGTGTGCCCGTTGTCATGTAGGGGAGGTACCAGGACATGGTTTCCATGGTGACCTGCTATCACGTTGGTGGCCCTGGTATATTGAGTGGAATGAGGCAGATTCAGCAGCAGGTGTGGGCTCCCATCTCTCCAGCACCCACTTTGACATGTGGGAAAACATGGACAAAGGGGGATTCTGTGGCCGCCCCCAGGGTCACGTGTGAGGGGCGGCTGCCGGTTCTGGCGTGATATCCTGCTCTAGTACCTGGCCTCGCATCATCCCATTGAGCTGTTTTTCTTTCAGGTCTCAAAATAACAGTGGTGACAACCTAGATTAAATATAGATTCTAATCCCACTTTACTCATTTACCCGTTTCAGCAAAAGGTCTAACTTCTCTGTCCCTCTACCTCGTTGGCCAGACGACGGTGGGACTGCCCACCTACTAGGACTCCTCTGGAGGTAAACATTGACCTGGAGGTTCAAGTAGCCAAGGGCAGGCATAATCTCCTTTCCACCATCTAGGTAGCGCACTCAGGAGAGCTGGTTTATTTGTTTCTAGATGTTCTGTTACAAATCAACCATCTTTCAATGTATCCCATCTAATTATTTACATTAAATTTGCAGAGAGTGAAACAAACTCTTCTCTTAAATCTCTTCCTGCCCCAGTTCTTACGCCCAGCCTCGTTGTTGGCAGAAATCATTTTTCTTTTGGAACCAGCTCCTCCATATGATAGCAAAGAAAATTTAAGGGTGACCTGGCAGGAGTGAGGAAGTGGGGCATAAGATTGGCAGCAGGTAAAAGTGGCAGCAGGTGGACCGACCCCTTCAATCCCGATTCTCTTGGCTCCTGGGGCTCATGGAATCCCTGCACTTTTGATGCTGAAAGAGGCCCTAGAGATGGAGGCCGGCATCCTCTTTATAGGGGTGGTGGGTGGGTGGACCAAGGTTCAGAAAGAGGGAGTGACTTGCCTGAGGTCACACAGCCAATTAGTGGGGCAGCCAATGAGAGCACCCGGGTCTCCCCTTTCCCCACCCGCCCTCTGTCCAGCTCTCGGACACTTGGGAGTAGACTCGGGAGGTATTGGAGCTGATCTGCGTTACCTGGAAGAAACAGAAAAATGACATTTGGCCAAAGTCTTGCTCTCTCCTGCATTTGCAGAGAGAAGAGCCACTTTGCCTCAAGACCTYTCTCCGGAAATAATAACCGGAGTCCACAACTAATCCCCAGCAATAACAGCTACCATTTTGGAAGACTGATTCCAGGGACCTCACTGATCTCACCCAGCTGGCCCGTGGAGTAGGTGTTCCACGATTCCTATTTTACAGAGGAGGAAAGGGTTAAGTAGCTTTTACCCAGCCCTAGAGCTGGTGAGAGTCAGGGTGAACTTGAACCCGGCTCCATTTTGACTGGTTACTTTTTCCTGTGATGTCTCCCTCCACCCTGAGATTTTGGCTTTAGGCCCAAAGACATGCAAGTTGCTACCAGGTGAGACGGGGAGAGATGGGTTACTCCCTGGGGCCTAGCACCAGCCAAGATTGGTGGGCACAAGCTGGAAGCTGCTGTTCACCTCCCACTGCACCATGCCATTCTGCCCCCTTGGTAGCCAGGACAGGTGGCAGGGACCAGACCTCCTCTTTCACACAGCCGCCAGCTTCTAGGAATGAAGTGTGTATATTAGGATTAACTTCAGCGGCACCTAATAGCGAACCAGAATAAAAGTGTCTTAAATGCATAAAGGGTTCTCTGGTGTTGGAGAAGTCCTGGAGAGACTGTGTGGCGGGCCTCACAATTATCCAGGGCCCTTGCTCTCTCTGCTCTGCCATTCCCTATAGGACTTCTGCCCTCGGCGCTTCAAGATGCCTGCTGCAGCTCAGGCCATCATGTCCACATCCCAAGCAACAGGTAGGAARAAGGCGTAAAGCCAAAGGGGCCTTCTCCAGTTATCATTTCCTCTCTTCCAAAGAACCTTCCTGTAAGTCTTTGGGACTAGTTTCTCTCACCTTMTTGGCCAGAACTTGGTCATGTGCCCACACCTGGCTGTGAGAGGGGACAGGCAGTAGAATCTTTAACTGGGCCCAGCTGCGTCTAGGATGTGGGCTCGGGAGTGGGGAAGAGGGACACCAGGCGCTGGGGGGCAGCGGGCAGTCTGCCTTGGAGTGATTCTCACGGCCTTCTCCACTTGTCCCCGTGATGACGGCTGGGGATGGCAGTGCTGAGATTAGAGAAGACTCGGGTGGACGTGGAGAGGGTTCGCCACACCCTTGGAGGTAATTGGCAGTGCCCTGGGGCGCCACTGGCTTAGGGTGGAACCTCTGTGCTTTCTGAGCTGTTTGCTCCGGAGCTGGCAACGGTGATGAAATCCAGGGTAATTCACCCGGCCAGCGACGGTCGCCCTGCGCTGTCCCCTCCCCAAACACGGGTTGATTTTACTTCTCAGGATTTCTTCTGCTCATAACGCTCGTGTCCTGCAGGTTGGCTGAGGCTGATCAAAGGGTGGGTTTCCTGTTCCAAAGGATTCTCTGATGATTATTGGGCTCTAGAAACAAAMGTAGATCCCACCGACACGCGTCTCCTGAGCACCGGGCTCTACATGTCCTGTCATTCTCACAGAAACCCTGCAGGAGAGGTGGATGACAATCCTATTTTACAGATGARAAGTGGAGGCTCAGAAAGGCTGAGCAACTTGCCCAAGATCACACAGCTGCTCAATGCCAGAACTGAAGGTCATAGTTCCCACCCRACCATCTGCTGTCTCTACCCTCCCTCCCTGTTGGAGAGGACGGTCCCTTGGGACAACAGGGCATCATGGAACCCTTTAAGCAGGCCTCTCTCTCCAGTCCTTTCATAGTAACTGCACYTCCTTTTTCTTTCTCCTCCACTCAAGAGCCTCCTCTAATCTTTGACACCTCCCTGGAGATTGCAGCCTGAATGTAGCCCCCTCCTCTGACCGCTTTGTGGGCCCCGGCCAGTCATACACCCTGTCCGGCCTCACCATGCTCATTAGGAGGCCGGGCCTCTCCCCTGGTCCCGCCTCCCTTCCCAGACATCTCTGCTCCCACGGTGCTGGTGGAATCTGTGGCCTGCAGCGT